TTATGGACTAAATGTAATTTTATCACTGTTTCTATGAGAAAGTGTAAACTAGTCTAAAAATCCAACTTTCAGATGAACAAAATTCATATAAAAATTGGGAGATTTTTCTCTTTGTTCTGCTGGATAGCAGGACAACACTATCCACTGAAGTAATGAAAGAAAGGACAAGAAATTGTATTTATTTTATAATTTCATGCTCTTTAGCTTTTACTTTTGAATTTCTCTTAGTGTTCAAAATACATTTTATTGTAGTCCATATAGTTTGAAAAGAAACTTTTTTTGAGTTTAAATTCTCAGAAAGACATTTAAGATAAACTGGGGTTATGTGATAAAGCACTTGGACAGCACCAATAGAGAGTTCACATGGAACAATATGATCTGAATTTTGGAAGTTGTAAAACAAGCAGTTTCATAGCTCTTGGAAACTTTTCCCTTCCCACTATCTTTCCCTATCCCCAAAGAGTTGTTCTTTACTTACCTATCAATCAATATCATAAACCTTTATACAGATAATAACTAATAAGTCTCAACCAGAATTCAGGAACACCTCATAGGCAGACTGTTTGGTATTAACAGAGAATCTGATTCTATGAGTCTGGAGTGAAGCCCAATTATCAGTGGCCTGGGAGACTGGCAAGGTTTTTCTAGCTGGGCATTAATGACATTTGGGGCCAGATCATTCTTCATTGCAGGGTTGTGCTAGCTAGCTATGCACTCTAGGATGCTCAACTGTAACCCTGGCCTCTTAAACTGCATGCACCCCTGTTAGGACCTCTACAGATATGCTCCGGACATGCCAAATGTCCTGCAGGGCAAAATCATCCCTCCAGGGAAGACCAAGGAGAAAAGCTGTCCAAAGATGGCACATTTTGAGAAACATTATCTTTAAAAAGCTAAAACCATGTGATAAAAGGAGATGCGTACAGATAGGCACTTTCTATAGTCTATTCTATAAACTGAAATAAACAGGCTTCCTAGAAAGGAAATCTGATTAGCTCCTATAAACTCCTGACGACTCAGCTAAGCTTCTAAGTCAAAGCTCTTCTTATGTAATTTCAACTTGAAGATCCTCTCCCTCGCTTCTATTTTAGATTATTTTTAATTAACTTCACTGGCATTTTGCATCCTGCTATGAAAAGTCCGCCTAATAGTCTCAGAGGACTCTCCCAAGAGAGAAGAGTGCATTAAATCACACATTATCACATTAAAGAATATTCCAGCACTCGGAGTCCAATGTTCTACATCTTGGCAAACTCAACAGCGTGGGGGTTGGGATGGAAAGAGGCTCAAGTGGTTCACAATATCCAAAGCTTATTAACTTCAATGCTTCTGGTCTGTATGAAAAATCTGTATTGATTTTCTGCTTCAGCATCCTTTATCACAATGACACATATTTTACAGTTGTACTTCTATCTGGTTTCTTGCTACTGACTGCATGTGTGGGACCTTGGTCAAGTCACTTAAATTCTTTGGATGTCCTTTTCCTCATCTCAGAAATGAGCAGGTTGGGCTGAATTATTTCTACAAACCCTGCTAGTTACAAATCACAAACTTATGAATGAAGCACTTAATTTTAAAAAGGCTCTTTAAATTACATGGATTTTTTGAACTACTTCACCAAAGACGAAATGTTGCTGCACAAACAAAGAATTTTTAAAGGCTTAATTGAACAATAAAAGAGAGAGAGAAATTACAACTAGAGGTTATAGACATTATATATACACATACATAGTATACTTAAATATTATATAATATATAATTCTATGTATTATATATAAGACCCATTCTCTCCTAAAAGAGAGATAAATATAAAAATAATTATGTTCCAGCTTTGCGCAGTGGCAGTATGGGAGCCAATGAGGTTTATCCGAGGCGCGATTATTGCTAATTGAAAAATAATTATGTTCCAAACTGGCCCTCATCTACTAAGGTGTGATACAGGATCTTCCTGGGCGAAGTTCCAGTATTTCAGAAGTTATACATAAACAGAGAAATGCTTTTAAATCAATGGTTTATATTTTATTTTCAACAGAAATGACAAGAAATCAGCTGCTGACAACCAGATCCAGCCTACAAGGTGTGGTTGTTTTGTTTGGCTTGGAGAAATATGGTATGTAATTACTTGCCAACTTTTAAAAATGGAGATGACACATCCAACTTCTAGATTTCCAGTAGCTCCTGAAATATCAGAAGATATTTATCCACATGACACTAATTAGGTAGAAATTAGCACAACCTCATGGCCAATGAGCTCTCCAGGTCCCTGAATTCTCATGGTTCTTATTGTCTAACCCTGCACCTACTCAGTCTTACAACCTGGAACATGTTAGCACTGTCCTTGCAATGGAACAATTTTCAGAATACACAGAATAAACATCTAAAGCTCTGTAATGTTTTCAAAGCAAGAGTAAAGCTTGTAGAGTCACATCAGAAAGGTGGAAGTTTATAAGAAACAGGGCTATGCTCTTAATAGAGAAAAGGCTTACTAACACTTAATGCTGAAAATTAGAATGGGCTACCTTATAGGCTTCCAAATGTTACCTAAAAGCCTATGAAGTAGAATCTGATGTTTGATAGTGAGTTCAAACTGCAGAGGATTGCTAAAGTTACTTCTAATTTTTAAAAAAGTACACCTTGAATAAAATATAGAAGATATTTCATTGCAATGTATTAGTATATGTACAGGTTATATTCCTCTATGTACATAGTGTACACATACATTTGATTTTACAAGGGAAGACTTATTCCGATCCTTGTTTTTCATGAAATGGTATTTTCTATTAACTTACATAAACATTAGGTTTTCTCACTGGCTTTTAATGTATAGAGTTTAAACTCAGGGAATAGAGCTTCGTAGGCAGGCACTCCACCACTTGAGCCATGCCTCTAGCACTTTTTTTTTGTTTAAAGAAAGGGTGTAGTGTTTTGCCTGAGTCAACCTTAGTCTGCCATCCTCCTACTTATGCCCCTTGTGTAGTTGAGACAATGATGCACACCACCCTGCTTTGCTTGTCTTGCCTGGGCTGGCCTTGGTTGTAATCTTCTTGATCTCTGCCTTCCAAATATTTTTGTCCTTTAGAAAGGAGAGAAACCAAGAATAGAACAAGAGCATAAAGGATTTAAAAGTAGATAGCTTTCAAAAACAGCTTCTTCAAAAATGTCTTTAGCAATAAAGCCAACTCAATGCTGGGAACCTGCACCTTGAAGCTATTTCCTTGTCTGTTTACTGTAATTTTTTTTCCTTAAATACATTTCATGAAATCTACTCATTTGAAGAACAATATGTTAAGATACTAGGGATTTTCTTTTTTTTTAAATTATCCATGTATTACCTCTAGAATTTAAGCCAGCTCTCTTTAGATAAAAAGGTTTAAATCCAAGTTAAACTAATAAGTATTTTTTAAAAAGCAATGGAGCTAAGCTAATATTTAGGTGTGATGCATTCCAATCATGGCTACATTTAAGGTGTGTGTGTGTGTGTGTGTGTGTGTGTGTGTGTGTGTGTGTGTGTGTGTGTGTGTGTGTGTGTGTGGTGTACAACAAATGTTCTACTTCAGGTCCTTTCAATACCTGCATCTTAATGTTAGATCAGGTGATGCCAGGCAGTTCTTCATTATACAGGTGTAATACCACTGCAAATTCTTCCTGTTGATTTTAAAAATGAATACACTGTTAAAGTCAGAGATTGCACATATTAACTTTTTCCAAATCACCATGTTTTCCTTGGGTATTGGATGTTGATATTTGACATAAGCATTGTCAACCCAACAACAGTGATTAACAGCTCAAGTGGGAACATAAACAGCGCATGGATGTGTTGCTGTCTGCTGTCGGCATGCCTAATGACAAGCAAATGATTGTGTTGACAATACAATGTGTAGAACATGGGCCGCTTCTGGGAAAACATATGTTTATCCTTCCAGTTCTCAGCTTTTCTGCAACTAATCATTTTTATTTTCTCTGTTTAGAGAAAAAAAATGAGTCACTCTTTCCAAGCGAAATGATAAACGTAATTCAATTTAACAGCCCAGGATGCCAGAACATTTTAATTTAACCATGGATGTTTTTGCTTTTATCTACTGTGACTTGAACATTAACTTCTTTTCCTTTTTTTCCTGCTTAGAGAGAGAGAAAGAAAGAGAGAGAGAGAGAAACCCCCCCAAGAAGCTCATTACATTATTATGGAGACTAGCTATCAGATATGCATAAAAATCAAGAGTATACAGTAGGATCTTAAGCCCAGCAAAATTATTTGAGGCCTCTCAGAACTCTCTACATCAGAACCACTGTCCCACCGTCCCAAGAAGAAATGACAGGTGGTAAGTGCCTTGCTCTGTCACCAATGAAAACCTGAAATATATCACCTTCAAGAACAAAAGGACACTTCAAAAGCTGGTTAGACAAAGTTTTCCCAGAAACAAGAGCAAAGCGAATTCGTTGTTGGAACGCGTTTCTTGGACCACACCTGATTTCCAACCGGTTATTGAAAACACAATATGAGCCATCCCAAAGTTATTGGTCTCAGAACCTAGTTTATGCGGGGGGGGGGGGGGTGGAATCACAAACAACCACAGGAAAGAGGAAAAGGAGAGTGCTCCTCCTCCCTGCTCAGACATCGCCCCAGTCCTGTATCCGCGGACCACACAGAAACCCAAGCATCCCAGATCCACACCTCTCAAGTCAGAAAGGCACATGCTCCAGGAAGCAGCAGCCTCCCGGCCCTCCAGTTCCTCCAGAAGCAAAGGAAGGGGAAGGTGCCGGGACCCGCCGAGCCCGCCCACCTATCCGGTTGTTGATCTGGGGCAGGAATCCTGGGCAAACTTAGTGGAGTAGATCGCCCTAGTGTGCAGAAAGTTCTCAACTTCAGGATCGAGAATGCATGCGTGACCCCGGCCCCCACCCCACCCCAAACCACCACCCCCGCCAGCAAACAGTACCGTGGGGAGCAAATTTGGCCACTTATGGAAGTAGCTTGCCAAGTGCCAAGCCGCGCAACTCACCCGGGGCCGGGGAACCCAGCCGGCCGCCGCCCGCCCCGGCCGGGGC